CATCAAGTTTCCTGATTCTGGAAACCAGTGGAATCTTTAGGTTTCCCATTACGGGAAACTACATGGATGTTCGGGAAACTTCAGGTTTACAGAGGTTTCCGTGGTTCGGGATACCTTATGGAATCGGAGCGTAGGGGGTTTCCGTGTCACGGAAACTTGGCGGAATAACCTGGCATCCGCTGCGGAAACCACTGGGAAACATGATGTAAACTTGAGGTTTCCATGTGGTTTCCATAAAGTTTCCCATGATGGGAAACCACTTTTTTCACCCAGTGCCCATTCTGACTCTGGAAATAGTGTAGAACTATTAACTTCACTAAGAAATGTTAACCAGATTTGAAGATCACTATGCATTTCTCTGGAAAGCCTTACCAAGTGATGCGACTAATAGTAACACCAAACATTTAACCATATGATTTAATCAACATGTAAAATTCTACCTGCCGGCAAGGCCTTTGTAACTAAAGCTTAGCCTGATGAGCCAATACTGAAAGACCGAAGCCGCCTTAATGTAATCTAAGATTTCCACTGAATTTCAAGTATTTCTTTTTGTAAATTGAATGATTACCGACTTTATACCTAAACCTAAGAACACTATGTATGTTGTTGGACTAGAATTTACCTCTGAAATATGAACATGAATATGAAATATTTTGAAAGGAAATAATAAAATTTTACCTTTGTTTGTACCATGAGCTCTAGCAAATAATAAAATCATGTAATAATGAAAAACATTTTTAAAGTTGATGCTATACTCTTTCACCCCTTGTAAAAAACTGGATTTTTTTTTAAAATAATTAATGCAAACAATATTTAATATGGCACAATCCATCAGTAACATTTGTGAACATCATATTTAACAAACATTTAAAACCAAGAAGACAAAAATTTCAGGTGTGACTGGTAACAACCTGAACTCATTTGAAACATCCATTTTCCATAGTTATGCATAATTTGTACCATATAAAATGTATATAAGTTTTTGTACTATATATGCTAACAGCTTGACTGGAAGATAAATAATTAATTGAGGAAATTTTGGGATTAACGAATTCATAAAGTTATACTCTTTCCATGTGGAGCAGATATATTGGTGATTACCTCCAACTTTGAAATGGTGGGGCATCAAATGGACCCATTATTATGCGACCTAGTTCATGCAATTTCTTTGTTCAGTTTAGCAAATAATTCATCTTTATGTTCCAATGCTGAAACCATATTTTTGCAAGATATTAAAACCCACCCTGATGGACCATCATAGTTCAATGAGAAACTGAATATAAATCATGTAAAATTTGTAACATTGATTGGAATGAAACCTACATCCAAAATATGGGGAGGCCATGGGTCATTATTGCCTAAGAGGCCTTTATAAACTGGGTGTCAGATTGGGATTGATATCTAATTGATGAAAGACAATGCGAGTCGACCCTTACAGACCCTTAGCACAAATTCGCCTGGGGGCTAGTGAATTGTAATGGTGGGCAAGTGAAATTTTATCCATTTGCCCGAGGGCAAGTGACTCAAAATTCAAATCAATATGTAAGACAGATATAAAGCTGGTCATAGTGACTTGCATATTGTACTCAATATTTGTCTCTCTTCTTAAAAAATATTTATAAATATAAATACAGTATTATAGTTTATAGTAGGGCAAGCAAAAATTGGGTAGGGCAAGTGTTTAGGTTTCCCAAACAAAACTACATCATACTGTTTATTGAACGCCTAAATCTAAAGTGAATGTCAAATTCTCCCACCAAGTGTTGTTGACTGAAGCCCCTAGCCTTATTAGACTGATATACATATAATCCCTTGAACACATTAATTTCTTCAATCTTTAAACACAAGCAGTTGCTTTATTTAATCAGCTAGATATAACTGCATTATAATTTCATCTGCTGGATCCAACTGCAATATTAACTTAGCAAGAAATATATAATCATTAATGTTCCAATTTTTTTCCTTGTTGTAAGAGTATGCAGGGATTTATCAGTACCTTCTCATATGCTGAAATTAGGCCCCATGCCAAATTGAAATTTTTTTTTATATTTAATTTGGAAGTTTTATTCCTGACCCAATTGGTAAACAATGGTTTTACATTTAATTATCTTGAAGAAAAAAAAGCAATATTGTCTGTAATTTTATATATAGATATCCAACTCATTTAACAAAGTTACAGTTACAACATATGTTTAAAAACATTGCAATAGTGTCGTCATCTTTTAATCCGAATTTCCTTGTTTTTTCTATAAATGGTGATATTGTGTAATTATACCATATAAATAAATTATTTATCCGAGGGTCTTGCTACACATGCAGGGGTCTGACCTAAAGCGATTTCATATTGCCTCTCCTTGAGGAACCATCACTCTCAAGTCAATAACATCGTTCTTGCAAATAATTATAAAACCGACAGAATTTTTCTTATTACTTATCATGCTTATTATTGATATTTAAACATGCATTCATTGAAACAAGAATTGAAAGTAAAATTTTCTTGTTTTACATGACCATTTTTTGAAGAATTAGTCGATAGATTTTAAACAAATTCATACAACATGAATAAACATGATAACTTTACGCTATTTTCATACTTAAATTTCTTCGATTGATAAAATACTTGCCGATGACACTTGATTATTTTTCTTAACACCATTGATTTCGTCTGCACTGAACAAGATGGGAAGTTGAAAAGACCAAGCACATGCGCATCAAAGCTCAAGTATTATTGACCCTAGAACCGTAACGATAGAACCGCATAATTCCGGAAAACGGTTTGCACTTTGTAGCTATTTATAATCTCAAAAAACAAAGCCATAAACGGCCTTCTCAATAACTGTATTTATCTTTTAGGGATAAATCTGATTACCGAAACAAGTGTCTGTGATATGAACAGTTTTATTCCAGCAACCTGATGACCAGTGCGTTAATCTATTTTCTGTCCCGTTCTTGACATTATTTGGGGTAACGCTTATGCTTTCAATGCTTAAAGTATCATTTTCTGGAAAACATTATTTAAGGGGGCCGACTATAGTTTTATTGTGTAAAAACTACAATAGCGAAACTCTTCATCTTTATACCATATATAACTTGCATTAACTTCAGTGTACATGCAAAGTTTGGGGGAAATCTACCGTCCAGGTATTTTTGAGGGACCGTTTCAAAATACAGGTACATTTACTATAGGATTATATAGGAAAATGCCAATTTTTAGCACTTTAAAGCAAATTATACAAATACTACAATAGACGTTTTGTTCAAACTATAATTTTTGATGAGTACTATATTATACAATATATGTAAGAAACACAAAATTCTACCGTCTTGTTACCAGAGGGGGCATCTCAAAATGCAAAAAATTAGCAAATTTTACTATTTTTGTAGAGTATTACAAAATATGACGTGCAAAATGGATTCACATGAAAGCACAATAAAAATATTGGAGATATTCTCAAATTTCTATGTTTGAAATTTCAAGAGCGTATGTTTATTTCTTTTTCTTTAATAATATTTTATTACCCCTTTCTTTAAGAGCTACAGATTATCATAACGTCAAAAACACACTGCAACGACGTCAACCTACCTATCAACTGCAAAATCGTTTAATTACATTTTTTATACCTATAATTTCTCAATTTTGTTTAATTTTAACAATAATTAAGCGAAAAAAGTTGCATTAAAACAGTAAATGTGCTTTTACTATGATGCGCGAAATATTGCGCAATGGAAACTATAGTCGGCCCCCTTAAGGGAATTAATGTCTGAAATATAACAAAACGCTACTTTAGCGAGCATGGTTTATTTTGATATACAAAACATACACATGTACATCAAACGTCAGCAAATATAGCAAAGTACATACATTCAAGCAAATACCCACACATTGTACAGCAAAAAGATATCGAATCTGGAATATGTACAAATATTGAAATTGAAAAACACTATAGATAAAAGATAAAACGTAAATTGGATAATTCCTATAAAAATTTAATTATAATTAGCACTATTGCTCTTTTTGAATACAATACAACTTTTGTTTTCAATAATAAATGCTTAAGAGTGCTCTCATAGTTTTGAGAAAGCTTCCATACATATAAAATATCTTTCCGGATGCAAATGAAAATGTATTCAAACTGTCGGACAGTATAAAAGAAATATCTCTAGAATAACTGTATAAAAATTTGATAAAATTGTTATTTAATTTTACCTAAACCAATAAAAAATACTTTGCTAAATTGCTTGGATTACCAGTTAACGGTATTATGATCCGGTTAAAATTTTCTCCGTATTATTCTTCTGATATAAATCAAAGGCCTGAAGGGCCTGCGAGTTGACTCGCTCGAGTCAATTGAGCTTTTTCATACATCTGGGCACCATACCTTAATATATTCAGTTTATTTTGCATCTTAAGAGATTGAATATTATATGTCTGATCCAAGTCAGGTTCATAAATAAAGTGTATATTGCTTTTCCTTTATATATACAGGTTGGCACTAATAGGCTTCCGTATTATTTTGACTGGATTCTATAATGAATTTCAGCACATTAGCTGAAGTGGTCAGTGTTATGGAATAATTAGGTTAAAGATTCCCACAGCAAATCTGGATTCTAAAAATAGATTTTCAACAACAACTGGCCGCAGCTAATGAGAGCAGCAGGTGTTTGTGTTAGAGAGTATTCTAGGTCAATTATAAATAAACTTCAGATGGGAAGATTAGATCCGCCTAACATGCTTGAACATATATTCATACGCAGTAATTGTACATTGCACAGGTATTTAATAAAAAATGTCTTTAAAAGCATGAAGGCATAAATAATGTGACAGTATGAAATTTTATACAGTTTTTACCTCTTAAGTTTATACAATCACTCAAACCAAAGCATTTTTTGCTAGAACTATTATATTTGGAGTATGGATTAATGAATGCGTGAAAAATTTTACAGCTCTGAAACGGCTATGTCGACAGGGAGTAGCTCGCTACGCGAGCCAACTCAAAAAAATTGTCTTTAGTTATTCATTAACCACGATTATGACTGCTATATTATTTGAGCAAACTATACATAAAAACACAAGTCTAAACAGAATCTCAACGGAAAAAAATACACGGTTTAAAACAAAAAAAAAGAAGAAAATCTCTCTCCAATATTTTAAAATATACACATTGCATACCCAGAGAAAAAACATACAAGATGCTCAGTTTGATTACATTATAATGAACACATGGAAAATAAATCAAGATAAATGCATGTATGCAAATCATTCTAACTACCTTGCAGATAATTTCTGGAAAAAATCCCAACAATTTCTTATTCCAAGGCGAAAGATTGCTTTACTAATATAAGAGATTCATATTTGTACTAGCTGTAGTATTTTGGACATGATCTGTTCTGTAAGAAACATAAAGACCCGACCTTTTGAGTAATGTCTTTGGGCTTGATTAAGCATACACAACTCAAACTCTCCCTAAAAAAACTTGTCTAATCTCATCTTCTCGAGACTTTTCGACAAGCTCAGAAAAACACCGAGAATGTCTCAATCGGCAATCTTCGACTGACACGCACCCTACTTCTTTTCATTTAGGCTTTGGTTACAACGTTCTCTTAATATAATTTTACAAAGCAGAAACTTGTTAAATGTTCGTTGCTTCAGACAGTAGTTCACAATTCAAAGGGAAAATATTTGGAGGACTCACAAAATCGTATTAATAAAATGATTAAATATCTTTCCTGTGCGATTACGAATTTATATAATAAAATCACTGGATGTTGAAATTTAATAAAAAATGGAATTTCTTTCTTTTAGTTTTTCAATAAATACAGTTGATTGTCCCCTCTGAGGTATATTCTAAGTGATGTTTTATTGATCTAGACTAACTCTTCAGATGAGAGGCTGTCCTACATTTTAGTTACAGTTTGTGAAAAAGGTTTTGTCATAGATGCCTTCGTAAAACATTCGGGGCTGTTTTCCCGCTTGTTGAATAGCCCGAGACGTTTCGATTATACTCGAGTAAAGAATGATTACATATGATCAGATATGTGATGAATGTGCAGTTGAACTCAATTCTTAAATTGTTTAAATGGAAGGGGAATAGGGCTACTGAAGAAAAACTCCCAGAGATCTACAAAATACGAGCACCGTACTTTGAGAAATGGAATGGCGAGAATTTGTTGATTAAAAAGCTAAAATATAAATTAATTGTAAAACACTTTATAACAAAAGCACACCTTACCAAACACAACAGTTTATACGTGTACACAGAGGCTGCCATATAAATACAAGATAAAGAGGGGGAAAAGAAACTGTTTTTATAATCTTATATCTTTAGATAGGGCCCAAATGGCATTTATTCTTAAATTAATTTTAATTGCAATTCTTTTAATAAATTGTTTTTATGTAACTTTTTGGTGCATTCGTGCAGTATTAAGGTAATATGAACTAAGTACGTACCAATGTGGTGTATCAAAATGGGTTTTAATCGTAATCAGACGAACTTCATTTTTATAAAATGTTTGACTGCAATGAGAGTTGCCTCCCGTTGCCCATATATTGCCCATGTGAAGTTCAATTACACATCGGGGAAGACTTCATTATTAAACAAGAAACCTATCGCACAACAAAACGTAGAGGTAGTTCTGATGGAAGTCGTGTTCAATAGAAAAATCGGAGCTTTAATTAGGCTCAACTGCTAATATGCTGAGAGGCGCCACAATCGCCCTGCTCATTATAGCACATGCACATGGTACTTTGATGTTACAATTTGGAATGACAGCTAGGAGTCTTGGATCTCATTGACAACTGAGTAAAATACATTATAATTTTCCTAACTTTTCCTCTAGCATGGTGAATTGTGTCATGATTGAAATGATTAAATTTGATAAACGCTACATTCTCAAAATTCAAACTAACAGAGACACTAAAATGGTTGATAAGGCTACTATTGATGTCAAGGAGTTTGCTAGTCTGCCGGCTCCGTTTCCACCATCTTTGACCTGAGGCTTGACAGCTGAAAAAAGGAAAGAAGATTTATAAAAAAAAAAATCATGATCAAAACTGTTTATCAAATGATAATCTTGATTTACATGTACTTGATTACTTTTTGAAATGGAATCGACTACATGTACATATTTTTTACCATTAATTAATGATGGAACAACATTCTTTAACATAAGACTGTCAAACTCCCGATGAATTTCAGTTGATTTATCTGACATTTTTAATTAAGTATAAATAGTGTCATTAGGCCACTCACAGTAAAGGATTCCCTTCTCCGTCGTTGGTTTGGGTGTTACTGGTGAAGTTTCCGGTTCCGGACTCGGCGTGGTAGGGGCCTCTGTGACTTTTGTTACAGGCTCGATATACCGGATGCATTCATCTTCGTAAAAAGGACAAACTTCGTCAAAAAAATCCGGCACTGGTTGACCTGAAAAAATAAATTCGAACAAATGGATAATGAATGACTTATGAGAAGTAGATATCAACCTTAGTACGCACGGGTAGAAGAGAATTAAATGAATCATTTGGGGAAGTACCCGATAACATCCCAAACAGAGTCCTGAAACAATGTGCAGACCAAATAGCACCATTATTGTCGATTATATACCAAAAATCACTAGATACAGGGGATTTACCAAAAGACTGGCTCAGCGCAAACATATCGTGTATCTTCAAAAAAGGGGATAGACACGCAGCTGAAAACTACAGACCAGTCTCCTTAACATCAGTACCCTGCAAGCTACTAGAGCATATCATATGTCGACAAATGATGAAACATTTGGAATGCAACAAAATATTAACATCCTTGAACCACGGCTTCAGGTCCGGATATTCCTGCGAAACCCAACTCGCTATAACCATACACGACATGTTACTATCCTACGACAAGGGTCACCAAGTAGACGTAGCAATCCTGGATTTCTCGAAAGCATTCGACACTGTTCCCCATGATAGACTCCTACACAAACTCAATCAATACGGGATAAGAGGAGAAATCCATGACTGGTTAACAAACTTCCTAACAAAAAGGACAATGAGAGTCCAGTTAGATGGGGAATACTCAGACGACACTAGCGTGGAATCCGGGGTACCACAGGGAACAGTACTTGGACCCATACTTTTTCTCTGCCATATAAATGATCTCCCTGACGCAGTAAAATCTTCTGTTAGGCTTTTTGCAGACGACTGCCTTTTGTACAGGGAAATTAAATCACCCAAAGATCAAAACCTACTACAAAAGGACCTCCAAAAACTGGAACAGTGGGCATCTGACTGGGGTATGAGATTTAACGCAAAAAAATGCTATATACTAAGCATACGTAGAAAAATAAACAGCCAATACACCCTTGAGAACCACACCTTAGAACAAGTGGCATCAAATCCCTACTTAGGACTACAAATACAAGAAGACCTGAAATGGAAAGAACATATAAACAACATCTCAAATAAAGCCAACTCCACCCTAGGCTTCCTAGGAAGGAACTTACAACACTGTCCAAGGGAATGTAGAAAGATTGCATATATAGTACTAGTAAGATCCATAATGGAGTATGGAGCTGTCATCTGGGATCCATACACCAAACAAGAATCAACAAAATTAGAATCCATCCAAAGAAGAGGCGCAAGATTCATAACCAAAGACTATAAATCAAGGGAAGAGGGTACAATGACAAAGATGCTTAAAGATCTTGACCTTCCCTTATTACAAACCAGACGCCAACAACAACGTCTAATCTTTTTTTACAAAGTGGTTGAGGGGCAGATACCAGCTATTAAATCAGACCAATATATAAAATTCCAAAAACCGAAAAGAAACATCAGACCGAAAGTGTACGAGGACTATCAAGCGACGAATATTATAAGTAATAGGATCAGGAATAACAGCCGTGCAGTTGAGATACTTGATACAAAGACAGACCAACTGAAGAATTCACTCTTTGTACGCACAGCTGTAGACTGGAACCACCTGGAAGAGAAAGCGGTCCGCGCCCCAAAGCTAGAAAGCTTTAAGTCGGCGATAGAACATCTTCGCGACTAAAGCGCCCTCTATCTGTCACATCAAAGCCCAACGGGATTACTGTGATGTAACAATACAGATACAGAAGTAAAAATAGAATCATGGGAGTGGGGTATTCAAGAGGTAAAATGACCATAGTTTGTACCCAAATAAATGAATTAATGATGCTGCAATATTTTCAATAATGGTGCCGTTTAAAGGCGATATTAAATAAAAATTTTCTACCAAAGGAATCTACAAGGAATTTTTATCATTGTTCAATCCATTGCACCTTCAATTTTACATTGAAGTCTATGAGCAGAGCACAGGCACCTGACGTTATTTAGGACCATTTCCAGTTTAGTTTGGACTTTCAGTAAGGAGTGGCATTCTCGATGTTACCTATCGGTAATTAGCTTCTGAAATTTACATAGCTTTGAGCTTTGCTTCACTGTTGAAATATACATAGGATAGAAATTCGGCCGAATGTCAACTGGTGTAGTAAATAGCCAATTAAAATGTCTCTCACGGTACAGAGGTGGGGCATAAGTCGTCTCATCGTTGTCAACAACAATTTAAAGTTCCTGATATTATTAATTTCTTAACCAGTGAGAATCTACTAGTATTCGCCATTACGTTGCGCCGAGAATGCCATCCTTTCTGAAAGTCCGAGCTAACCTGAGTACTGTAATATTTTTCTTTTAAGAAAAAAATATAGGGCCTACCCCCTACATTATTAGGTAAGGGGTATAATTTCAAAGACAAAAATAATTTCTTCTTTTCATAAAAGGCAGATAACTCTTGCAAAATGACCAGTTTGTTGAATGTTGGAAGATTTGTGAATATGGATAATTTCACTTTCATCGTTATCCAGACATACATATTTAACTAGTTTAAATGATTCAAATGTTCAATATCGCTAAATTATACATTGAAAACCTAAACGTGTTAAAACAAAAAAATACAGTAAATGTCAATTACTAATGCGCAAGGATTGTTGTTTTCTTTTGTTTTTCAATTTACATAGGAAGTTGTAAAACAGAATATAATCATACAGACACACCCTGATATATTAGTTGGAAAAGCATCTGAAAATATTATTTATTATAGTCATGTTGATATTTTTACACAAATCAGACATGGCTCTCGTAGTATGATCTCAAATTACAAACAAAATTGTACAATCACCTTCTGCTAGCCTTGGACTCTCCTCTCCACAGACAGTAAGTTCGTCCAAATAAGAGATGGGATCATTCATATACATATTTACGAGGTCGCCATTTTGTTTTTTCTCTAAATATAGAATAGTTTCGCCATCCACTGCCCGGATAGAGCTCGTGTTGTGACACATCCCTGAAGAGTCCTCAAATGTACCTAAAAAGTCAAAAAATTAAAGATTAGTGAAATTCTTATTAAATGTACATGTATTAACATTATTAACATTAATTATAAAACTGAAAGAAGAGTTGTGTTTTTGAAAGAAATGGGACGTTTATTTTTAGTAACCAAATAACCATTACCATGATTACGACAAAAAAAAAAAAACAAGAGGCCCACGGGCCTTATAGGTCACCTGAGTATTGTGCAACAACTTTCAAACAATTAAATTTGGTTCATGTTATAAACCAGAGGCCATGGAATTCGCAATTCACAATTTTGAAAGAGGTACCATTGCTTATAATAATTTAGACTTAGCATGCTAACTCTATTTACTTAATACCCAGAGGTAGATCAGAGTAACATTAAGAGAAAATGCACTTCCACTTTATAACCAGTTGTACACCTCATCCCAAAGGAACCACTGATCCCGGGGCCACATATTTCAAAATTTTGCAAATTTTATCATAAAATGGTTGATTAACACCAAAGAGCAAATTTCAAAGCATTACTTTATTTTCAGACTTTGTACCCCCCCCCTTCACCCCGACCCAGGGAAGGGGCGGGGGCATAAAAAATAACCATTTTGCTTGGTGCACCTTTCTTCATCATGAATATATATATATTTGGATCATAGGCATAAACACAGGAGCAAAGGAAAGAATTTCAAAGAATAAATGCATTTTCACTATATAACCAATAGAGCCCCGCCCTAACACCAGAACCCCTGACTCTGGGGTCATAAAATTCACAATTTTGAAAAAGGCACTCTTGATCAACATAACTATTTAATTACATAGTTTATTTAATACCCAGAAGCAGAGAAGAAGACTTTCAAAGAATTTATGCATTTTCACTATATGATCAATAGAGCCCCGCCCTAACACCAAAACCCCTGACCCTGGGGTCACAAAATTCACAATTTTGAAAGAGGCACTCTTGCTCATCATAACTATGTGCTTGGTTAGTTTATTTAATACCCAGGAGCAGAGAAGAAGATTTCCAAAGAATAAATGCATTTTCACTATATAATCAATAGGGCCCCACCCTAACACCAGAACCCCTGACCCTGGGGCCACAAAATTCAAAATTTTGGAAGAGGCACTCTTGCTCATCATAACTAAGTACTTAGTTAGTTTATTTAATACCCAGAAGTAGAGAAGAAGATTTTCAAAGAATAAATGCACTTTCACTATATAACCAATAGAGCCCCGCCCTAACACCAGAACCCCTGACCCTGGGGTCATAAAATTCACAATTTTGAAATAGGCACTCTTGCTCATCATAACTATGTGCTTAGTTAGTTTATTTAATACCCAGAAGTAGAGAAGAAGATTTTCAAAGAATTTATGCATTTTCACTATATACCCAATAGAGCCCCGCCCTAACACCAGAACCCCTGACCCTGGGGTCACAAAATTCACAATTATGGAAGAGGCACTCTTGCTCATCATAACTATGTGCTTGGTTAGTTTATTTAATACCTAGGAGCAGAGAAGAAGATTTTCAAAGAAATCATGCATTTTCACTATATAATCTATATAGCCCCGCCCTAGCACTAGAACCCCTGACCCTGGGCCATGAATTTCACAATTTAAGTAGAGGACTCAATGCTCATTACATTCATAACAACAGTTTGCCTGCTTGATGTCCAGGAGTAAAGAAGAAGATTTTTAAAGATTGCAATAATTTAAGTGGTTTTTGGCCCACCCCCCAGGCCCCAGGGGGGCACGACGCACGACACACGACACACGACGACGGACGAAAACGGATAGCAATAGGTCACCTGAGTTACTCAGGTGACCTAAAAAGAAAAACCGATGAGATTGTGTATCTATATGTAATCTACATGTGTATCAGGTGTTTCTGAAAATGTAGAGGACAAATTTTGAAAGAATGTCAACGTAATTCCTCTAACTAGTTACCATGGCAACACCGTTTGTCGAATTTCATACTAACCAACAAACTCTTATGTTTCTTAGCTACAGATATATGAGTTCCAACTCTTCTTGAAATTGGGCCACAAATGTAAAAGTATACACAATTTCTTTTCGGGAGGAAGTCAGATTACATGCTTTGATTCAGTACAGTGCAATGACTTTAAAATACGTGTCTTGAAATTATATTTTGAAAAAAAAACTAACAAAATGTTTAATTTTTTAAATATGAATTTATGCACTTATTAGTCAGCCCGCGGGCTGACTAGTTATGATACGAAGAACTTCAAATGCGCTTGCGTGTTTTGGAATTCTGGGAGGTAGTTCTGCAGCAAATCACTCTAGCTAATTTCATTTCAGTAAAATCAGTATAGATTAACAAAGAAATCCCTATTTAACACCACGGTAAGTTGTAAAGTTAAATTCAACTTATATAAGAAAGTCATTGATGCATATTTATTTCTAGAGGCTCTTTACAATCCTACTTCACAGTTTCAAACAGTTTTTAAAACCTGGTTCGCAGTAATTAAACTGGTTCGCATCTGATCGTGTAATGTGTTCTACGCATGTTAAGCATACAGTTGTATGAATTCATATCGCACAGTGTTTGACGCGTTAATTGGAGGTCTTTTGTGAAGTATGTTGAAGGTTTTTTATTTATGTATTTAAAATCTACGACATAAACATTGGTTTAATAGAGATTTTGAAGTTATTCAGTTTTTATTCGTTTTACTTTCGTTTTCATTACATCATTTCGATCCCGATGCAATTTAGCGAACTGACTTGTTAAAGCATACAACGGATACTTCGAGAAGAGACACAACTGGCTGAGCTTGCTCGTTTGTAATGTCCCCCGCTGGAAGTGGAGGATATTATTTTATTTCTGTCTGCCTGTCCTTTCGTGCCCCTGTCTGTAGTTCTGTCTGTAACACTTTTAATTCCGTGAAATAATTCGAGAAGCCCTTGAGCTTTTGTATTGAAATTTTACACAACTCACTATGGAAAACCCCTCTTGATTTGAGGTAAAAATGTCAATTGTCAAGGTAATGAAATCAAACTTGTGTCTGTTTGAACACCTTTGTGTCCGTGCAATATCTCGATAAGCTTTTGAAATGAAATTTTATACCACAACAACCTATGCTGAAAGGAAGATAGCTTTATTTTGACGTTCAAAGGTCAAGGTAATAAATTCACACCTGTGGGTGATTGTGTGTAAATTTTTCATTTCCAGTCAACATCAAAAGAAACATTTTTACGTTTTACAATCAAATTTTATACCATAGCTCGATCCACCATATGGCCCTGTGACGCCCCCCCCTTTTTTTTGTTGTTTTAGACCTGCGCATGCTTTTCCTAAGTGGGAGACGCAGATTCTCTGAATTAGCTTATTTAGTGAATGAGACCATTAAATATGTTGTGGCAATCAGATTTAGGGATTTATAATTTTCTTACGTTATAGAGGTTTGATAAATGAATATGTTTACCAGGCCGGGAATAAAAATATCTTTGTTTCCCCTAACCCGACCCTAAATTCTCAAGTTGGGTCGGAAGGTAGGTAAGCAATTTTATTTTCTGACAGCAGCTTTGAAAATACATTCTAAAATTTAATTGAAAATTACCTTAATAAGTAAGACAAGTACAAAAGAAAGCGATTTGTTAACAAAATGCTATCGTACATATGCCGTTAAAAAACAAAATTCATGATTAATTCTCAACTATTGTTTAGTTAAATTGTAAAATATCTCACGCCATAACATTTATATAAATTGAATAAAATAGACAAGATTCTCAAATACGTAAAGACTAGACATACGAGTATATTTTTTCAAACCTTCCATCAGCCTTCAGAGCTTATAGACGATCAATGTACTTTTTTGAGGGTCATGAGATTTGAAGTGGTTCTGAAGCAATTTGCTTTGGAGTTAAGAAATTAGTGGCTAATTTTAAATCGCAGGTTCAAATCCCAATGAGTAACGTTGGAAACGGTCCTTCAAAGGGGACCATAAAACTTATGTCCAGTGTCGCAGAAGATGCTGGCTCAAAAAAGGATCCCCAACTGCTTAATGGCTAAAAAAGTACGTCTTAATTTGGAGCAATGGGAAATGTCATCCAAACAAATCTTGAAGGGATTAAAAGCAAAGCAACAACCAATCTTCAAGGGCCTAATTAAAGAAAAATACACTGAACGTCTCAGGAAGCTGAATCATGATTTCAAAACTATTTGGAAAGAGTATGTTAACAATATTTAATTGAACCAAAACGAATCTTCAAATGATAAAAGTGCTAAATACAATGTCATAATCACGAAGTTTAACCACTAGATAAAGGCACGAAGAAACGTAAAGAAAGAACATCCGAATTATATTAATCAGGATTAATATGCAGACATATTTACAACAACTCCTATGGCTCCATAATGGCATATAGTAAACATAGGAACATAGATGAATTGGTTATTAGATCAAAACTCAAATCAAATAAAATGCAGTGAAATTGAATGATGTGTTTACTAATGTGCCCCTCATCTACTCATGAGGCGGGCCTGACCATGTATTACTTACCTTATATTCAAAGACAGGTTTGTTGTTAAACGTCCCTTTTGAAAATTTATTCACTCACATGGAGACGCCAAGACACCTCCGAAACACTCTTAATTAGTCATGGTAATTTGTTTAATTTACCAAATTGTTTCAAGAGGAAAGAATTCCAATTCCTGCTATTAGCATGAGATTGAGACTCGCCATTGTTTCATGAAGATCTAATGCCCTGTATTTACATCTGGACGTCATTTTGTTTCCAACAAATGCTTGAAAATCACAGTAGAACAATGTCGGCCTTTCTGATAAAAACTGATTTTGATGAAATTGTATTTTATAAAACTTGGTTAACAATAAAAAAAATTATTGAATCATCTTATTTAAAAAATCTTTTCAGTCGGTGCGATTTAATTGGGTCGGTCGCGTTAGGGGAAACAAAGGTATTTTTTATTTTGGCCCCAGTCATTGTGTTGTTTATTTTGTTCCAATTCTTCTTTTTTGAATTTTCAAGTTTAAATTCAGC